TATTACCTCTCTTCAGAATTCTCATTCCTCTTTCACTTTCTTTGATTCCTAAAAGATTATAAACATAGGTACAACTTAAACAAGGTTTTCAGAACCACAGAAATAATTTGCCCTTACCTCGGACCTTGAATCCTCTTAAAACCTGTGAGTGCCCCTCATATTTTCACTCCTGTCTTTCATCAACTGTCTAGCTCTTCAAGTTTAAAGAGTGATCTATTTAAGAGAAAAAAATAAAAGAAAAGAGGTTGTGCAGTTCTTTTTTTTTTTTTTACATTTTTATTGATTCATAATCATTTTACAGTGTTGTGTCAAGAGGTTGTGCAGTTCTGCTTGTTATTTTTAACCTTCAGTCTCTTAATATTAGGTTATATTCCCCAGTCATTTGCCCTATCCTTCCTTTGTTCATTTTATTATTTCTAAACCTGCAAACATTATGTTGCTTTTAGCATTTTTCAAAATCCCCAATTTGTTCTTCAGGCTTCCCATGCTATTCTTAGATGTACACAAAAATATAAAGTATTTATCAACATTTATATGCCTTCTTTGTAAAAATCTGAACATTTTCTTTCACAATTTGAGCTTAACAAAAAGTTCTCTAGACTAAGATGATGATCTTTAGATGATTTTTTTCCTATCTCCAAATTTTTTCACAGTTACAGAGTTTGTATCACATTTTATTCTTCAGCTCTACTTTCTTCTAGAATGTTTAATCATACACAGTTTGCATAAATATTTAAGAGCTTTTTAGTTGTTTATTGAAACACACAAATTATAGATGCATGGCTCAATGGATTCTCACCGAGCAAATACTTCCATATAACCATGACCAATTCAGGAAACAGAACATTTTAGGATCCAAAATGCCTTTATTCAGTTACTCCATGACTCCATGATCTTCTTTCCAAATAAAGTAACTGCTTTCCTGACTTCTAATACCTTAGATTAGCTTTCTCTGTTTTGTACTTTATATAAATAGATCATACACTATGATCTCTTTTGTTTCTGGGTTCTCTTGCTCAGCCTATAGGTAAGCTTTATTCATAGTGTTATATAATAATTCATTCACTTTTGTTGTTGCATAGTATTCCACTGTATATCAATCATATTTATGTATTTTATCACTGATAGATGTTTAAGTTGGTTTCAGTTTGGGGCCATTTCAAATAATACTGTTAAAAACATCCATATGCATTCCTTGTGGGGAAAATATGGATGAATTTCTATTGGAACCATATCTAAGAGAGAAATTGCTAGATCATAGGTTATGCATATATTCAGATTTAACAGATCTGTCAAACTTTTCCAAAATAGTTGCACCAGTTCTCACACTTACCTGTAGTATAGATTAGTGCTGGTGCTAATCTCAGTTCCTTTACTTCTAACCTATGTCTCCATATTTAAAGTGGGTTTCTTATACACAACATAGAGTTAGGTCTTGTTTTATTTTCTGTTTTTAATTGACTCTGACAGTCTCCACCTTTTATTTGGTATACTTAACATCATTGACATTTGAAATGATTATTGATATATATGGTTTAATAGCTACCATATTTGTAAACTATTATCTGTTTGTTGCCATTGTTCTATGTTGTTTGTTGTGTCTTCTACTCCTTCTACTTTTTCTGGTTTTAATTGAACATTCTATGTAATTCTCTTTTCCTCTCCTCTCTTAGCATATCAGTTATTTTTGTAGTCGTCTCAAGAGTTTCCAATATACAGTTAATCTAAATTCACTTTCAAATAATACTATACTGCTTCATAGGTAGTGCAAGTACTTTATAACAGTATTCCCAATTCTTCCCTCCTGTCTGAGACAACGTTTGATAACAGACTGAAATCATAATGGGGTAATCAGTGTTCGGGCATACAAAGGGGAGCTGGATGGTCATAGAGAGTCTCAGTGGTTTCAGCCATGTCCCTGCACCACTGAAAACTTGAACTTTCTGTGAACTGTACCAAACCCAGGGACTCTAGCCGTTTTAAAAATATCTGCAGGCTGCAACCTTGTGGTCTCAAGGTTCTTCCCCCTTGTAATGATGGATGCCAACCAATCTCTGCTTAATAAGCACCCGTACTTCTTGCCATCTCCAATTATAATTCTTGATAAATAATGCATGTAATTAACTGTGTCCTTGCAATTTTTGCCTTTATAAGCTTTCTCCATTTTGTAGTCTAGTGGAACAGGATTCATGTGCTTCTTGTATCTGTCTATCCAGACTGCAGTCCTAACAAACCCAAACTAAATACCTCTTTATTTCAAATGCATCTCCATTTCTGAAATTTTTGTTAACACACTAATGCCATTCATTTAATTTATGCATATGTTATAATCACCACTATAATCACTGTTACTATTATTACTTAGCACAAACTGATCAATCCAACATAAGAAAAACAAAAGGTTATCCTTTACCTTCATTTATTTCTCCTCTAGCACCTTCCTTTTCTTTATGTAGATCTGTTTGTGACGTATGTAAGTTTTCTTCTCTCTGAAGAACTTAAGTCTTGCAAGGCAGATTTGTTGACCACAAAGTCCCTCAATTTTTGTTTTTTTCTAAAAAATTTTTTTCTCCACTTTGGAAGGATTTCATTGGAATTCTAAGTTGGTAGTTTTTTCTTTCAACACTATCAAATATTTTTGTTGACATGAGACTATGTTACTTTGATGTCTTCTTTGAAAAATAATAACCAGGTAGCTTCATGAATATATGTCCTAAAATATGCAGAATAATTGCTGATATTTATTGGCTAATGATTAAGTGTGTTCATGTGTACTTGCTCATTAACCTTCAAAACAGTTCTGTGAGGTAGATATTATTATTATTGCAGATGGGGAAATTAAAGCTTTTAGTAACTTGCCGTACATCACCCAGGTATCAAGTGACAAACTACCTTGCTATGCTGCCTCTTGATTCAGAGTATCCTGGTACATTTGAATATATTAAATAAACAGCTAGTGTGGTCCTTTTAAAAATGTTTTTTCTTTTAATTGCTAATTTTTAAAATAACATTGCTGTATACTGTCCCATCACAGCAGTCTTTTCAAATAACAACCTGAAAACCCTAGCAGCGGCTCAGGTCTTGGATTGTTCTTTTATAAATGTTTTCTCCTGCTCCAATTTAAGGAACTAAATCCTTCAGCTGAGGTTATTCCAATGTAACTAAATGAAAAATCCACTACTTAAAGGCAGCAGTTTGTTAACATGACTAGGAGTTTGTCTTTCTCCCACTCTGATCCAATCAAGAAATGTGTTCCCTGAGCTGAAAGATGTTTAACTATCAGCAGAGCCTGGAAGCATGGCTGCCACAGACTGCCTGAGCAACGAGATGGCAGAGAGGGGGATATTCACTGAAAGTTTCCTCTGTGTGCTCTGCAGCCCTGTCACTGAAAGTGTGCCCTGGGGACCAGCAGAATCAGTGTCACGTGGAATCCTATTATAAATGCAGAATCCCAGTCTCCACCCAGACCTACTGAATCTTCCTTTTATCAAGATCTCCAGGTAAGTTGAATGTTTATTAAATTTTGAAAACCACTACTCTATTGACTAACCCAAAGTAGTTCTTCAGAGGGCCTCTGGATCATTGAACACTGTCAGAATTTGCTTTAAGAAAATGAGCACGTTATAACAGTTGTCACCAACATTTTTGATCATGTACCACAATTAGTTTAATTTTTTAGCATAGTGATTAATTTCTGAATATCCCTTATAAATTTGATACATGTATTAGTATAATAATGTATTTTGTACATTATAAAAATATGGACAAAACAGAAATGGGAAAGCATGAGGTAAAGGTAAAATAATAAAAAATATTTTAAATCGTTAATATTGTCACTAAAATGTTTAGCTTTCACTAAAATTATTGATAATAATAATGAATGATATGCTATATATTTATATTTATTATATGATAATAATAGTATGATAAGTGTAAATAAATATTCAGAATGTTAAAAAGTGCTTGTTTAACATTGTGATATAGTCACTTAAAGATATGATTCTAAGTTCAGGTTATGTTGTATTTAATTTTAATGACTGATATCAATTTATACAATATGTAAAATATAAATATGGTAAGAATCATGTAAAATGATAGTAGATATAAATCTATTTCAAAACTTCTTTTTTTATTTTTAGACGTTATGGTAAAAGCAATTACATTATTGGTATTTCTAGGCTATAGTGTGGCTAGTGAAAAATGTTGCTAGGAAGAGAAGTGTGAAATCTGCCTTTTTCATTTTGTTTGTGTGCTTTTACACTATTGGTATTATCCTTAGTGGGATGTCTATTTATATGAAATCTTTGAAGTCTCTTGTTGATTTTGTGCATCTATAAAGCTAAGCTGTGATACATACATGTTGAAACCAAGGGAACAAGCATGGGCTTCACCCATCTCCAGCTGGAGATCTCCTGCTCTTTCATTCCACTTTACCTCACATGGTGTGTGTGGTACATACTCTTCTGTAATATGCACCCAGAGGGCTTAACAGCGTCCCTTCATACATTTTAAAGCAGTGGTATTTATTTCTTAAGTTTCCTAAAAAATAAGTATATATATGTATAGAAACTCTGACAGATTCTTTTACCTCCCAATGCACATCTGTTTTGGATGCTGAGATGACCCTGCCAAATGCTAGAAGGTAAGAAAAACAAGGAGGACTGAGCCAAACCAATGTGGGCGAGGCGGGTGGAACACTTTGAATAAGTGTCAGGAATGTGGAGCACCTCAGGTAAAGAACTGAAGCAAAGGAAGTAGCCAAAGGTCATAACTCAAAGACTACAAATCCACAGGAAGTCCTCTTCTATTCCATTTGGGAAGAAACCTCCCAGGAAACAAGATCGGTGAGAATAGAATGGGAAGGAGATCATAGTCAATAGATGGCATTACAGACAGACAGGGAGAAGATGGGAAAATCTCCAGAACCTAAGAGATATTTGAAAGAAGTCTAGCAATTTGAGCTGCTTAGAGGGGCAAATGGAGAAGCCATCATGCGATACTATCTGTGAAAACAGTCTCATAGCTCATGCAGAGAGCAAATTAAATACTTTCTATTGCCTGTCATGAGCAATGCAAGATTCAAGTCAGTCGACAGATAATAAGAGTATATTGAAATCTGTGATATAGAGCTACTGTAGTCCTGTATTTCCTCTAGAAGCCTCAAACCTGGAGGGAGAAAAGACACACATACCAGAGAAAGTGAAAGAAGCATGTTACTGTATAGTAATGCTTACAATTTATCAAGCATCTCCCATGTGCCAGGAAGAGTGCCAGCTGCTTTACAACATAAACAAATACATAGCAACTCAGTGAGGTTTATGTTGTTAGGTTTATAATATAGGTAAACAGAGCCCAGAGAGGTTAAGCAACCTGCTCGAGGCCATATCCACACAGGCACTAACTGACGAAACTGGTATCTGAATCCAAGAAGCAGACTGTGCTTTTGCTCATAAACATCAAGTTTCATGGGCTGCTGATACAAAAATTCGCCACCAAATCAGTGACATAGAAAGCAAGAGCTATAAAAATTGTGATGTGTGAGAAATGTTCATGGATGACGTATTGAATAGTCAGAAACTGGTGGTCAATTTCGGGTTTACTGTGAACCCTTGGATACAATGACTCTACCTTACTTTACTTCCCCATGTGAGCAAGGATAAAGCTAATGATGTATGACTAATGTTATCATAAATTTCCAGCCACTACTGAGCTATTTGCAAGCTACTTGTCACTATATACTGGGTTTATTCTACCCCCAACTCCCTTTCTTACTATCCACCACAAACTATTTCATTATGGCTTTGTGCTTCACCGTGAGAGAAACACAGCCAACTCAGATTCATGAAGTTGGCCTCTGCACTTTCAGATGCTGATGTCTGTCAGGTTTGAGAAATTCAGTTAATCTATGATGCTGCTAAATATCTGCTTAATCTTGCCCCTACAGAATGACCTTGAGAGTTTCATCTCAAAATTAGTCATAATTTACATGGTATTAAATCAAAGAGAAAGACATTTTCATCCCACCAATTACAGTTTATGCTTTTGAAACCCAATAATAAATAAAACTAAATGATGAAAGCAGCACCTCTGAAATAAAAAGACCAAAGGTAGTGGGATGTTTGTGCCTTGTGTGGTATCGGTTTTAGTGCTTTAGTTCAATGGCATTACCCAGTTAGGTTTTGAGAAACTAGATTTAATAGTATAATATTTAAAGACATATCTAGAGGCACTCCATATATGTGAGGTATTCCATCCAGTTTTAAAACTGCACTTTTGACAAATGAGGGTAGTTTTGGAAGGAGTGAAGAAAAAAGTATTGAAATGATATAATAAATAATAAAAGAAATTAAATACTGATTAGTCTGGGAAAGAAGACACACGTGGGAGAAGCCTTCTTTAAACATTCGTATGTCACTTTCATTCACTTCAGTATGCATGCAAATCATTACCCACTTCGATGTTCAACTTTGCCTTTTGTGTTGGCCTTCATATTCCTGACCAGATTGGCTACAACTGCTCTAATCAGAGGCTTTTTCCTCTTCAAAGGTTTTCTTATTTTTTTAATTATATTTTGTGGCTACTAGAGCTTTTAAAAAAACTGAATTTTATTTTTTATTAAAGTGTAGTTGATTTACAACATTCGTTTCAGGTGTACAACAAAGCAATTCAGTTACACATATACATATATTTTTTCAGATTCTTTTCTATTACATATTATTATAAGAAATTGAATATAGTTCCCTGTCCTATACAGTAGGGCCTTTGAGATTAACAGATACACATTACTATATGTAAAATAGATAAACAACAAGGACCTATTGAAGGTTTTTCTTGGCACTCAAACTCACCCATGAGAGTCAAGGTCCCTTTTGTAGCTTAAGAACTCTAGATGTACTTCCACTGTAGCATCAATCACATTGGCTATGACTGCTTGTTTGACTTACTCACTTTTCAAGGGTAGAGATTTTTAATAACCACTTCTACATTTAGGATCTAACACAAACTTTGCTGGTTAGATATGTGGTAGATGAATGAACAAATGGATAAATGAATGAATGAATAACATAAGGAAGGAAAAGTAAATGTGCATTCTGTTGTTCTCAGGTGCCCTTCAGCCAGTAAGTGGAAAGATAAGATTTCCAGATTTAGCAAATAAAAATGTAGGATGCCCAGTTAAATCTGAACCTCCAATAAACAGTAAATTATTTTAGTATAACTATGTACCAAATATTGCATGGGCATCTTGTATTTTATCTGCCAATCCTAAAAGTATAAAGACCCAGATTTCAGCCCAATGTAAGATTAAAAGAAAAAGGCTTCTAGAAGCATGGTTGGTACAGAAAACTTTCAAGAAAGCAAGCTGCCAGACCTGTTTAAGCACAGGATGAATATCAGAGGAGTGCTGGACATGTCCTTGCATTTGGTGAATCGTTTGTTGTCCCCTTCTTATTAAGCAGTGCATTTTGATAAAAGTTGCACACAAATATGCCTAGGTTGAGAATGAATATATTCCACATGCAAATTCCACATTCCACATTCAGGTAGTTCTTTTAACTGCAAAACCCTAGTCACAACACACCTGTCAGTTTCTTTTTGAAATCTAACTTAAAATATAGTGCATTATTAATATATTTTATAGAAGTTTAAGTTTACCAAACTACTTCTTAATTCTGATTCCACCTCTGCCCTCAGTGATGTCCTAAGTAAGGTAAGTTGTTTTAACTCTGTCCCATAGCTATGAAACACAAATTCTTACTTGATACCTTTTGAGTTGATGGGTTCAGTACCGTTAAGAAGTGCATTGCTCACTTCTTAGTGCATTCAACAATGAAAAGTTACCAGTTTTATTATAATCCATCTAGGGTTCACTTCTTTATTACAAATTCTCTTTCTTTGCCTTAATTTTGTATTTTATCAACTGTGATTTCCAAACAGATTAATAAATTCTACTGGATTTAAGCCCAAATAAAAAATTATTATACAATTTAAGTATCGACAATAATAATAATATCATGACACAAAATAAAATAGTAGGACTAGCTGGAATTCTGATTAGCTACAAAATCATAGTAAAGTGTTTCAAAATAGCAGAAACGTATTTGGCAAACAATAAAAAAAACATTCTTCTTAAGAACTCTAATATAATTATGATATACCAAATAATTATAATACAACATGACGATAAGAGGTATAGGTATACTTGATCATATGAGTTTGAACCAAATGAAATTGCCATTTTTACCTACAAAAATGACAATTTCATGTAGTTTAAAGCAAAAATAAGCCATTGCCTCTGAATTTCCATAAAGAATATGTCTTGGTTTTTTTTCTGGAAATATTTTTCATCAGGAAATTTACATTTTACATCTAAATGCAGACTAATGAGAGGAGATTTCACATATAATGGTCTTTTAAAGTTTCTGAGAAAGGTGAGAATATTAGCAGAATGCTTGTTACATAGTGCTTGCCAAGTAAGTTTAGCCTATAAAGAGGAAATGAGGAAATTGAACATTTTATGACTGGCATAGGCTTATTCTCTATAAAATTCCAGCACAATGCTCTTATTCTACTAACATTTATGAAGCTGTCACCATGTGTAATTCTAAGCATAATTCTGAGGGCACTGACCTCATTTTTTTTCAAATTTGCAACAGATGTATACACCTGTCTTCTGAATGTCAACTTTTATTATAACCATTTACAGGAAAGGAAACTTCAGAATAGAGACATAAGTAATGTGTCCAAAATTATACAATTAGATAATGAAATCAGAGGAATTCAAATCAAAGCGTTCAGTATCCAAAGCAAATCTTCTTAGTAACCGTGCTACTTCAATTGTTCAGCGATCTACAGATTTCTGTTGTTATTAACAAACATATATTTGGCTTCTTCCTATATGGTTTTTTGGTTGAAATAGCATTGCCGGATAAAATATAGGAGACCCAGTTAAACTTGAATTTCAGATAAATGAAGACTTTTTTAGTGTAAGTGTATCTTATTTAATATTTGGTACATACGTATTCTAAAAATTTATTTCTTATCTGAAATTCAGATTTAACTGGGTGTGCTATATTTTAATTTGGTAAATGACAACTTTCAAATCAAAAAATAAATTGACACACAAAAGTGACTTTTGACATCCTGTTTTGCTAATACTTTCTTTCATAAAGCCATCTCACCCAAATAGCAATTCTATCAGATTCCAGTTTTTTTCTCAAATTGGCAACAAATATGCACCTGTCTTCGGAATGTCAGTAAAATCCTTTGCCATGCCAAATATTGCAAAAAGATATTCTGACTCTGTCACTAATGTCTTAGTTAAATCTGACCCCAAAACACTATTATTAATTGAAATAATTAGTAAGTAAGATTTATAATGGAGAATCAGTCTAGATTTTTGCTAATTAAAATCTTAGGCTTTAGGCTACAAATCAAATTTTTAAATAAACTTTCATTTTCAGAATAGATGTTTATATAGAGAGATGATGAAAGAATATTACAAAAGTTCTCCAATACTCCATGCCCAGTTTTCCCTATTGTTAACATTACTTTGACATGTTTCCACAACTAACAAAGTAGGATTACTACATTATTAACATCTAAAGTTAATACTTTATTGATTGCCTTATTTTTAAGTTTTAATACCTGAAGTCAATACTTTATTGATTTCCTATTTTATACAACGTCCTTTTTCTGTTCCAGGATTCCATCCAGGATAGCATGTTAGTTGTCACATCTCCTTAGCATTATCTTAGCTGTGACACTTTTTCAGGCATTCCTTGTTTTTGACTATCTTAAGAATTTCTAGGAGTACCAGTTAGGCATTTTGTAGAATGTTCTTCAATTTGGATTTGCCTGATGTTTTGCTCATGGTTATAGAGGGGTTGGGAAAATTGGGGACAAAGACTGCAGAGGTAAAGTGGTCCTCTCATCACATCATATCAGAGGTACATGATGCTAAGATCATTTACCATTTATTATATTAACCTTGGACAGTGTTTATCAGATTTCTCTGCAGTAGAGCTACTCTTTTTTTCCCGTTTCCATACTGTACTCATTTTTTAAAAAGTCATTATGTGTGTTCCACATTTAAGGAGTGAGGAGTTCAGGTGTGCTATAGACGATATGTGTGCCCCCTAAAATTCACATGTTGAAATCCTAACCTCCAAACATGATGCTATTAGTAGATGGTGCCTTTGGGAAGTGCTTCTTGAGTCATGAGGGTGAAGGCCTCATGAATGAGATTAGTGCTTTTACAAAAGAGACCACATAGAGCTCCCTAATCCCTTTCACCATGTTAGGCTTAAATGAGACATCTGCAAACCGGAAGTGGGGCCTGTACCTGACTGCGCTGTCACCTTAATCTTGGACTTTCAGCCTCCAAAACTGTGAGAAATAATTTCTGTTGTTTATAAGCCACTCACTTAATAAACCACTATGTTTCTTGGTTATAGCAGCCCCAATAGACTAAGACAAAGATGGGTATCTACATAAGTTATTTGAAATTCTTCTGCAAGGGAGGTTTGTCTGTTCTCTCCATTCATTCATTTATTCATTATTCATTTATTCAATAATTTATTTATATCTGTGGATTCATGCATATTTATTTTATATTAATAATCCAATACTATATAATCCAATACTATATCATATATTTTATTGCTCAGCTTTTCTAGCTTTCACATTAGGAGCTTTTCAGTTGATTCTTTTGTCCTTTTGACATACCCCTGTCATTTTTTTTTTAAGTACATCCTTACTTTCTGACCCAAGAAGCTCCAGGTTCAAATTGCTCCAGATTTGCCATTGGAACTCTTTCTGTTAGCTCATATATTCCTTTGACACATCCCCATCACTATGGTTTTGTTTGGGGTACTTACTTCCTGACACTGCAAGAGGCTCCAGGCTCATCTTGTATACTCCCTGCCTGAAAACTCAAAATCAGCCATTTCTCCAAGATGCACTGATTCCTTTTTTTTTTTTTTAGTATATGATATCGGGAACCAAGATCTGGGTGCCAGATATACTTGTTGCTATTGGGGTATCACTGCCTCTAGCCTCTCCCAACAGGCAGAGCTAGGACATATATGAGTATATACTAACCTGTGTATATACATGTGTCTGTATCATATCCATCCATATCTGTACCAAGGTAAACATAAGTTCATACTGAAGTCTCTAATTTTCTTTCAGTAACACATGGTTTATTCTAGACTGCCCCTGATCCCTTATTTATCTGTAATCCTCACTCCAGCAATAAGTGGCATTATCTGCCATCCACTTACTTATATTCTCAATCCCAGTATATATGTACAGTGGTTTCAGAATTGTTAATCCATACCCTCATGGGGAACATGATAGAGCACAGTGATTATGTACAGTTTCTAGACTTAACAGTTCCCACTCATTTCCAGAGGTACCTATCTTGGAACCTTTCTTTTTTCATCCCCTTCAATGAGTTTATGCTATGCATTGTAACAGAGATTCTTTTATCATAGGCTACATTCCTCCAATCTCTTAATTGATTTTTGATTATTTGCATACAATTAAGGTTCACTCTTTGTGGTCTAACGTTCTATGGGTTTTGACAAATGTGTTGAGCCATCTCTCCAGTATCATACAGAGTTGTTATACCTAATAAATCCCCTAGGCTTTACCTTTTCCTCCTTCCCCCAAACCCCTGCAACGACTGAGCTGTTTACCATCCCTATGTCACACAAATAGAATAATAAAAGTGTGTAGTCTTTTCATATTGGCTCCTTTCACTTAGCAGTATGGATTTGGATTCATTCATGCTTTTGTTGACTTGATAGTTCATTCCATTGTATCACTGAAGAGTATTCCGTCTTATAGCTGTATCACAGTTTATCTGTTTACCTACTGAAAGATATTTTGATTGCCTCCAGCTTTTGGCAATCATGAATAAAGCCACACATGCAGGATTTTGTGTAAACACAAGTTTCCAAATCAGTTAAATAAATATTCAGAAGTGCCATTGCTAGATGGATAGTTTGGCAAGTTTACACTTGCCTTTGTGAGAAACTGCTAAACTGTCTTCCAAAATGGGTGAATCATTTTGCATTTCCACCAGCAATAAATGAAAGTTCTCATGTTCTATATACGCACTAGCAGTTATTATTATCAGCTTTTTTTTTTTTGAACAACAACTGTAAAAGCTTTATTTCTAAAGCTGGAATCCCCCCCCCCCTCCGCCCCGGGCTTGTGATGGGAAGGGTGTCTTTGGCCAGAGCAGCAGAGCCATGCAGGATAGGGGTGAACAGGCATGGGGCTGCCGTCTCAGGAGGCTTAGCTTTTAACACCTCTTAAAAGCAGGTCTGCTGGCAATAAATTCCCTAAGTTTTTGTTTGTCTGAAAAGTGATTATTTTCTCTTCACTTATGAAGAGTAATTCTAAGTTAGTAGCTTTTTCTTTCAACACTTTAAAGATTTCACTATACTCTCTTCTTGATTGTATGGTGTCTTAAGAAAAGTCTGATGATGAATTGTTATCCTCATCTCACCTCTTGTCCAAATTTCTTCTAGATTTTCTCTTTCTCTTTATTTTTCTGCAATTTGAATATGATATGTGCCTAGAGTCTGTTTTTTAATCCTGTTTCATGTTTTCTGAGCTTATATCTATAGTTTGGTGTCTGTCATTAATTTTTGAAGGTTATTAACCATCATTAGTTCAAATATTTCTTCTGCCCCACTCTCTTTCTTCATGTTCTGGTATTCCAGTTATATATATATATGTTACACATTTGAATATCATCCCACAGTTCTTGGATAGCCTGTTCTATTCCTTTCATTCTTTTTTTTCTCTTTATACTTCATTTGAGAAATTTCTGTATTCACCTATCTTCAGCAGCACAGATTCTTTCCTCAGCTGTGTTGCATCTGCTGTGGAGCCTTTCCAAGGCATCCTTCACTTTTATTACTTTATTTTTATTTCTATCATTTCTTTTTGATTATTTCTCTTAATATCAGTTTTTCGTTTACATTAGCCGTATTGTCTTACATATTGTCTACTTTTTCCATTAGAATCTTTAATATATTAATCATAGTTATTTTAACTATCATGACTGATAATGCCAACATCTATGACTAACAGTCTCCAGCTCACATTTTCTCAGTTCCCTGACTTTAAAAAGTGCCAATTATTTCCTTTCAAAATTATATCTTACAAGCCCCCTGTATACTGTGCTGCATATCACATCTTAATTTAATAGCATTCCAGCCGTAGGCTTTTTACATCATACTTCTT